CAGTATAACCTTTTCTTGGGAGAGAAGAGGTAGCCTGGTGTAGCATCATGGCAAAGAACCTGGACTCCCAGCCTAGCTGCTCAATCCACTTATTCTTGTGTGACCAGAATCTCCGTGTCTTAGTTTCTTCCTCAAAATCAGCCGTTCTCAACCTGTGGGTTGCGACCCCTTTGGGGGGGGCGGGTGTCAGACAACCCTTTCACAGGGGTTGCCCGATTCATAACAGTAGCAAAATGACTGATGAAGTAGCAACGAAAATCATGTTACAGTCCGGAGGTCACCACCGCATGAGGTACTGTATTAAAGGGTCGAAGGTTGAGAACCACTGCTCTAAATGGAGGCTAGTAACAGTACTTGATGGAGTTGTTTTAAGAACTGCGGTTTCCCATGTAAGGAATTTAGAATAGTGCCTGGCACACATGGTACTCTCAAATAGCTGCCATCCAGTCAGCGCCAACTCTGAGTCGCCCTATAAGACGGTAGAACTGGCCCTGTGGGTTTCTGAGGTTGTCACTCTTTATGGGAGCAAAAAGCCTCTTTTCTCTGAGTGAGCAGCAGGTGGGTTCAAACTGCTGACCTTGTGGCTAGAGTCTGACTCCTAGCCCACTGACTATGCCACCAGAGCTCCTTTGGCATCTGGGAAGCACTAAATGTGAACTCTGCCGGATTGCTATGCGGGGTTGAATGTGACCAGGTGTAAAGTGGTCTTGATGAAAATGGGGGGACACAGTCAGATTTGTTAAATGCCTGTTTTTTGCCAAGTACGATGGGTGATTTCATACATTTTCGTGTATTCCTTAGGAAAGCCCTGGAAGATGTGAGACAGTTAAGAGACTTGCTTTAAAGGTCTGAGGTTTCAACTTAATGTCTCCGACACTGAGGCTGACTTTTTTTCCCCACACCATGGTGAAGAAGGAGCTTGGTTTGTCTGTAAAGCTGTCCACAGGACAGAGGAATGGTTGGCTAGGAGACCATCTCCTCTTGATCTCCCCTTTATGAGTCAGTAGGCACTGCAATAAGAAGCCCAGGTGCGGTGGGTTAAGCTTTGGTCAGTGGCGCAAACCTACCAGCTGCTTCATGGAAGAAAGAGAAGGCTCAGACCAGAACAAAAGATCATATCAATGTGAATGAGGGTGAGCGCAGAGTAGAGACACAAAGCCCATCTGTAGATACCTGGACATCCTTTACAGAAGGGTCACAAGGAAGAGACAGCCAGCCCAGGGTGCAGTATAGCACCAATGAAACATGCAACTTTCCTCTGGTTCTTTAATGCTTCCCCCCTACTCCCCGACTGTCATGACCTCAATTCTACCTTACAAATCTGGCTAGACCAGAGTATATACATGGATACAGATAAGAGCTGGAAACACAGGGAATCCAGGAAACCCCTCAGGACCAATAATGAGAGTAATGATACCTGGAGGGGAAGGGGAAGGTGGGGGGAGAAAGGGGGAACCGATAACAATGATCTACATATAACCCCTTCCCAGGGGGATGGACAACAGAAAAGTGGGTGAAGGGAGACAGCGGTCCGTCCGTGTAAGATGAAAAAAAAAATTATAAATTTATCAAGGGTTCATGAGGGAAGGAGGGTGGGGGAGGGGGGAAATGATCTGATGTCAAGGGCTCAAGTACAAAGAAAATTTTTTGTTGTTTTTTTTTAAATCATTTTGTTGGGGGCTCGTACAATTCTTACCACAATCCATGCATACATCCATTGTGTCAAGCACATTTATACATTTGTTGCCATCATCATTCTCGAAACATTTGCTTTCTACTTGAGCCCTTCATATCAGCCCCTCATTTTCTCCCCTCCCTTCCCGGAAAGAAAATGTTTTGAAAATGATGGCAACGTATGTATTGGCACAATGGATGTCTGTATGGATTGTGATAAGAGCTGTATGAGCCCCAATAACATGACCTGACACAGAGATGAGGCGGTCTGCTCCTGTGACCGCTGGCACTGGAAGCCCTCAGGAGGTTGTCCTTTCGGTCCTATGGTGCTGCTAGAAGCCAGAATCTATGTGGTTGCAGTGGCTTGTTTTTTGCTTGTTTTTAAGCTTATGGACATGTCCCAGCATGAAAGTTGATAAATCTTGGAGAATGTTCTGAGTGTGTCATCTAATGAAGGTTACACAAAGGGAGAACTTGTACTTCGCCAAGAGTGTTTTTACTCCCTCCCACTGAAAAAAAAAAAGAGGACTACCCTGAGTGGGTGGGAATTCTTTCCCTGGAGTTGGCAGGCTGGGACAGGTGCTCTTGGCCTGGCCAGTGAGGATTCTGGAAGACACACAGGATGACTTCTTCCATGGTCTAGAAGAGAAATCGATCCCTCAGTCTGGCTTTCCAAGCTCTTCCCATGGTTTCTGCCCGGCGCCACCACCTCTGCTCAGGCCATTTTCAGTTGCTACTCTTTCAGAGACCACGCTGATGAAATTAATTGGTCTGTTTTTCCAACTAGGAAGAAGACTCCCTAGTTACTGTCTGTCGAGAGATTGTGGGACGATGGTCGGACTCCCAGAACGTTGTCAAGAAAGTGAAGAGAGAAGGTAGCGTTGGCGTTTCGGTGTCCTTTCCAACAGCCTGGCTCTCTAGCTGTTGGCGAGGGCGTTTCCTTTGGCTCTCTGGTGCGCATTCCTTATGATATCGTTTAAACTGTAGCTTTGTGTTGAGCGTGGTTTCCCGTTCTTCTTCCGGCTTATACACGCACAGGTTCACCCCAAGCTGATTAGACCCGTGTCTGGGACCGGCGCACGAGCACGTGCATCCTCTCGGGACATGCCTTCGTTTTATTTGGGTGCCTTAAACAAAAAGGGCCCAGCGGGGCCAGTTAACTCGAGGCAGAGAGGGCAGCTCAGAAGGTGACAGCTCTTTTGGGTTCCAAAGGGCAATCTTGATAGATTTTCTAGAAGGACTCGGGACAATCATGCCAACGAGTTTTTTTCATCCCAGCAGCATACCTGCTCATCTTCAGAGGGAGCAAGGGCTGTCCTGTGAGAATTCAGTGGGGAAACCTTAATCTCATTTACCCTGCAGCCCTGGTCATTTTTGTTCCCATAACTCCAAGCACGTTTAAAAGGAACAAGATTGGAGTCCTTTGAGGTTGCCCAGGCTGCTGTTTTTGATGCGGAAGTCAGAGGGCTCAGAATTCTTTGGGGGAAGACTTTACAGGGAGGCAGGCATTGCCTCCCGAAGGTGGATGCATTTGAGAGACCCTGGGCTGCATCCTTCCCGTCAGGGGCCTGCACGGAGGAGAGAAAACTGCCGTCAGCCAAGGAGGGAGCCTGTTGTGAAACATTTCTTTACAAGATTCACAAGGTGTCCGGAAGCTGGGGCGTGTGATCAGGGCTACACATCAAACAGCCGAGTCAGGAGCGCTGAAGCTGGGTCAGTGGGAAAAAGCTGAGGACAATAAAAAGGTTCTTTTTAAGCAAGTTTGGAGCAAGGAATGGTGCATTGTCACCTTCCCTGCAGAAGAGAGAGAACACTACCTCTCAGGAGAGGTGTCATAAACGTGGCAGGTCGTGGTCATCAAGGAGCCCTGTGGCCTAGTGGTTGCGTGTTGGTGTGCGAGCCACAAGTCACCCGTCCGAAAACAAAGTGCCCTGCAGAAGGAAGATGTGAGCTCCTCCCCACGAAGAACTACCGTCTCGGACGCCCGCAGGTGGTTCTCCCCCGTCCTGTGGGGTCACTGCCCGTGGGCGTGGACTCGAGGGCAGTGAGGGTGGGTGGTTGGAGTGGCTTGAGCCTGCTCATCGTGCACGGCCGTTCCATTCCCCTGAAAAAGAGAAGCAGAGGGTTCTACATAGAGGCTGTGTCAGAACAGTGCCTTCACATCTTGACTTTTTGTTTAATGACAAAGTATTGCTCTTGCAGCAGTACTTTTTGACTTACTTCATAGTTAAGCGGCGATGTTCATAAAAACAAACCTGAATAGATGCCGTTTCCCACTGCCTGTTTGCTCTCTCTCAGCCTTGGCTGTACACTAATGTCACTTGAGAGATTAAAAAAAACAAGACAGTGCCAGGACCACACTGTATCCCAGTTTTGCACAGATGTCTTGGCATTCTGATTCCTTTAAAAACACCAGAAGCTTCTGCTGTGCGGCCAGGTTTAAGAACCACTACTGTACACCATCGCTGCCTTCCACCAAGAATGGAGAGCTTAGTGGTTGATTTTTGGTTTAAATCTAAAGAATTTGACCTGACATTATTGTAAACTTGAGAGGACCCAACTCACATTGGGTTCTATGTTCCTTCCTAGGTTTCTGGGATCAGAAGAGGACAGTTGTCTCTATAGAGGCTGACTTTTTTGGGGTTCTCAGCCTCTTTTCTCCCCATTTTTGTTTTGTTTCCATGGGAGCTTATGCGGGCCCAGTATGGAAAACAGAGCTGGTGCTTCTGATTGGCCATGGGTGCCGGGCCAAAGCCTTTCCTGCAGGGCCTCTGTTGCCTTTCTAAAGGCATCTGAGACCCCCTCCGTTGAGCCCCGAGGTTCCAGTGCCCCAGGGGCCAGCCCTGCCCGGGGCTAGTGGCTCCGTGAGTTTGCTTTCTCTCTCATACACCCTCTTCTCCCTCCTCTCAACTGCCTCCCAGATGACGTCCAGGCCATTGCCACGTTAATTGAGAAGCAGGCGCAGATCGTGGTGAAGCCCAGGGTGGTGTCGGAAGAGGAGAAGCAGAGGAAAGCTGCGCTCCTGGCCCAGTACGCGGATGTCACCGATGAAGAGGAATATCCTTCCTCGAGTCCTTCCCTGAGGCTCAAAGCAGAAATGTGGCTTTGGCGCACAGTGAGCCCGGGGACACTGGGCTCCCCCTGGGTGGTTTGATTGCCCAGCTGAATGGCAGTGCTCTGGCCCTGTATGGGTGTGAGGAATGGTGTTGGCCTAGTTGATTCTAGACTTCAGCTTTCAACCTACGATTCATAGAATCCTGAAAATTTTAGGGTAGAGAGATACCTTAATGGATCTTTCATACTGGGTTTTCAGGAAACAAGCCATAGCTGTGATTTCTTATACCTGCCCCTTCCTATACTTAGTTCAACGGCACACATAAGTTGCATGTTTTGTTTTCTCCTAGTAGATAGGTGAAGTGAGGCACAGCGAAATGACGATCAGAGGTATTCAGAGAATGAGGGGCAAAACCAGGGCTAGAATCCAGATTATTTTAGGTGAAAGGTTTCCTAAGTCTGGAGCAGTTTCATCCTGGTTTGTATTTTTTATGTCCCTGTGACTACATCATTAAAGAAACGGGCTGCCCTCCAAACAGCAGTAGAAGAAATCTGGAATTTGAGTAGGGCTGTGTAGTCAGACAGGTGTGTGGCTAGCAAGGGCAGATTTGGTTCCTTGTGAACTCGGAATTTGTTTACGAGACGTTGTGGCTTACCAAGCCTGTGTGGAGTAAGTGACAGTTCTCTCCTGGTTTTTCCTCCAAACTTTTCAGCATTGACAGAGCTGTAGTCCCTGTCACCACATCTCGTGCTCTGGCTCAGAAGGTGACTTGAAAGCAGTAATTTGCCTGCCTGGGTGGCTTATTAAAAACAGACAGCGCCCGACTTAGTAGATTGGATCAGCATTTCTAACAGGTTCCTAGGTGATTCTGGGAACCGTACAATGAGAACCACTCTCTTAGAGCTTGTCATGCCATCCCGCAGCTTCCAGGTAATGTGGCAGTCCACCCAGATCAGCGTAAAATTCTTTTCAGCTTTTCAGAGATACAGGATCTTTGAACAATCTTCTCCAAGTTGAGACTTTTAAAGGTGACTCCTGGGTTTACTACCACATCCTTGACGATGCCTGCCTTCTACTCAATGAGCCTTTTCTAGGTCCCAGTCTCTTGAGTGTTTCTTAATGTTGGGATGGGAGATACTTTCCCTTGCATTCCATGCGACTTTCCTTAACGCCATTCACTGAAGCAGACGAGAAGGATAACCCAGGCGCTACCACAGTCAACGCTGGCTCTGACAAATGTATCCTTCTCTGTGTCCACCTCCATGTGCTCCTCCATAGAATCCTCCCGCAGGTCTGTTTGTGTGTGTGTAATCTCACCAGGCTGTCATTGTGGAGAGAGCGTCTCTCGCTTCCAGGAGTTCATGCCACCCTGGGAGCTTCATTCCAAGGACAAATCTGGGTGGTCAATTTAGCAAGAACTTGCCCCAGATAACACGTTCACGTGCACTGTGAAGGGATTAGCTTGGAGGAAGGGTTTCTAAAGGAAAATAATCTGTACTCCCTGGATATAGTGCTGCTTGACCAGCATTGTGTAAGCAATTCAAACATTATTGGAGTCTTGGTATTTGTCCTCGGAGACCTTATAATTTGTTTGACTGAGGACATAAACAACTGAAAATTGTTATAGACGAACAGTATGTACATATTGGAATATATTTTCTGAGGAGAGTCCCTACCTTTTAAAAATCATTTTATTAGGGGCTCTTACAGCTCTTATCACAATCCATACACACATCAATTGTGTAAAGCGCATTTGTACATTCATTGCCTTCATCATTCTCAAAACATTTTCTCTCCACTTAAGCCCCCGGCATTAGGTCCTCATTTTTTTCCCCTCCCTCCCCGCTCCCCCCTCCCTCATGAGCCCTTGATAGTTTATAAATCGTTGTCATATCTTGCCCTGTCCGACGTCTCCCTTCACCCACTTTTCGGTTGTCCGTCCCCCAGGGAGGAGGTCACATATAGTTCCTTGTAATCGGTTCCCTCTTTCCTACCCATTCTCCCTTTACCCTCCCTGTTTTGCCACTCACACCACTGGTCCTGTAGGGCTCATCCGTCCTGGATTCCCTGTGTTTTCAGTTCCTATCTGTACCAGTGTACCTCCTCTGGTCTAGCCAGGAAAGTCCCTACCTATAGTCACTTATGAGACACTTTCTGGAGATGGGTTCAGGAGGAGTGTGATGGATTATCTGAGAAAAGGGGAGGTTATTTCAGGGAGATTTAGTGATTTAATAGAACTACAGCAGGAAAAAATGTTTCAAGACTGGAGAAGAGCTTGACTAGTGCAGATTGCTTTTAGAATTACTAAAAAATGAGAGGTGACATTTAAAATTGATAGTATTAGCAAAAACTTTATATGCTGCAAATACATAAATATTTTGCCAGTTACATTTAGTAGTAAAATTAGCTACTCCTGCAACACTACCATTGAATACTTATTCTAGAATGAAATTTTGTTTTGGTGAATTTTTTTAAGTCTGAATAGTATTTTTATTCCAGGGGACCCTTCTTCATTTTTGTCTTGGTAGCTTTAGGATTTTACGTCAGACTAAAGCTCAACATGACGTTTTAAGGCTTGGGATGTGGAGCCAGGACAGCCAGAAGGAAAAAAGGGGTTGTAACCTGCAACCCAGGCCCTTAACTCATTTGTAGCTCTGTTTCGAAATACCAATGTGGAAGATGTCCTCAATGCCCAAAAGCTGGAACGAGACTCACTTCGGGACGAGTCCCAAAGGAAGAAGGAACAGGACAAGTTACAGAGGGAGAGGGACAAAGTAGCCAAGCAGGAGCGAAAGGAAAAGGAAAAGAAAAGGACACAGAAAGGGGAGCGGAAGCGATAGCCCAGACCCACTCTCTCCTTTCTCCCATGAACTTGATATCAAATGGGAGAACTTGCTGTACAAATGCGTATTTGAGAGAAATGGGAGAACACTGCCAAGTGGTTTCCCAAGGCATTTCCCCTTTGTTTACATGGTCAAGAGGAAACTCAGCAACACTTCTAATTACAAAATGTGCCATAGCTCCGAGGTATGGGTAATTGGATTATTGTCAATGATGTCTTTACCAAAGATCTGGACTAGGGGCAATCTCGGTATTTTATGCTCCTTTTGGCCACTTTAAAGTCTCCCATCACCTTGGATAAGCAGCAGGAGGATTAATCTTCAGCCTGAAGGAGCAGAAACACCACCAGGGTGAAGTGTAAGCGTGTATGTTGTTTCCAAGGCAGCATTTGGCCCGAAATGTCATGGTTGGTGGTTCAAGTAGAACGCCAATGAAGAGCTCTACCTGGATCCGTCATTTGTTTCCTGGAAGCAAAGTAGGAAAACGGCAAGAAATGCTATGGGTGGTGGTCCAGAGGTGAGGGTTCTGAAAAACTTTGCAGCTTATGGGTGGAAAAGAAGTCTTTTTTCAAATAGATTGTTAGATACATTTCCTCCTCTAGGATGTAGCTTTAAGAAGAATGTGTTCTTCCTGAAGCAAAACTAGCATTAGTGAGGATTTTTTAAATCGTGATTCTTCTTGAATCCTGAGATCTTTTATTTGTCCTAAAAATTATGAGTATAAGACCTTTGAAAAGTCCTTATTAGGGAAAATGGAGAAATAGTCACTCAAAATCTGTGTTTGTTGATGCTCATCAGATTTATCAAATGAGTGGTGGAAAATGGTTCGAGTCAAAAGCAAGCGGGAGCTCTGCTCCTACATTGTCATCAGCCACATTTGTTGTAAGGCCTTTCTCCCTTCGACTTCCAGGCAGCAGATGGTCGAGTGGAAGCTTGAAGAAGGCAATTTCAGTGCTGAGACAGAAAGTAAATATTTTATACCAGAGGTTGGCTGACTGTCGCTCCCAGGTCTGATTTGGCTTGGCTTGTTGTACAGTAGAAACAATGTCCATTTTTAAAAGGTTGTTAAAAGAATAAAGATTATGTAACAAGACCCATGTGGCCCACAGAGCCTAAAATGCTACCTGGCTCTTCAGAGTGTACCAATCTTGTTTTGTATCATTGGTTAACAAAAAAATGTTGCCATTGTGCAGAAAGTAAAAAGATGCATGGCGAAGGAGAAGATGTGTTACCTCTTTATATACATATACTCCTCTAGCTGTGGCATTGCAAAAAAGAAAAAAGAAAACCCACATACATAAAACTCACCTTTTTGTAAAAAGAATAAACTTTATTTAAATGACTGTCTTCTGACTTATGATTCCTTCTAGCTACCCATGGAAGTGAATTTGTGTGGATATTCATTTAGGAATGTGTCCAGTTATTCAAACTAGCATTGACTTTAAAAAAAATAAGGATCATCTCATTGGGCTTTGAGAAAGGCTCTCTACTGAACAAAAGTATTATTAAATCCTTTACTTTAAAATGTTCAGTATTACCAAGGGTAGACTTTAATAATCCTATTTGATGGTTGTATTGGGTAAGTGCTGGAGCTAGAACCACAGATCAGTGATTTAAACCCACCAGCTGCTCCCTTGAGAGAAAGATGAGATTGTCTGCTCCCATGAAGATTTTCAGCCTGAACACCAAAAAATAGACATTGGGGCCAGGGCTTGGCACCCTATCAGACTCGGCC